AAAAGCTAATTGGCCAAACAGCTAATTATTAGTTATTTATCTATATATTGGAATTCAACACGTATAATGGACACAATTTATCCAGGGCTTTGAATTACTCAAAAAATATTATGTAGGACTTTAATCCTTTCTTTCCAAATGCTGCCATCCAAAATGAGAAGAGCCTAACCAAATGCAAACAAGGTTTTTTACGTCATTGCTTACGCAAACAATTAGAGTAAAGCACAGCCGGAGTGTCGAATTGCATTAATTTTTTATGAAGAAAACTTTTTTGTTTTTGGGATAAATAAATAAATGATTTACATTTAAAGAAGAATTTAATATTTTATAATTTAAATTATATTTACTTATAAAATATTAATTATTAAATAAAATTTTTTTTCTTAACATTAAAAGCCTTTTTTAATTTAATAATTAATATTTTATATTTTAATACGATTTAAACTGTAAAATTTTCTTATTTAAATAATCCAAAGATTTCGAAAGAATCAGGCAAAGTAAGTCGGCTAAAAAACTCGAGAAGATGTTATGCGCCGCGAGAAGGGACGTCTTAGTAACCCAAGCTATCGTACCCCAGGTCCTAGTAAAACCTAAAATGGCGAACTTATGTGCTATGGATCTCTAAACCTTACTCCAATCAATGTAAACCAAACACCCTAAGAGCTTATTCATTTGATTAACAATATGAGATTTTAAATTTAATATTTCAATTTCAAACTTTGAGTAGAATAAGAATTAAGAAGGGATTTGAAAAAAATATATAATTATTTTTTATTGTATAATTTATTATTAAATACACAAAAAATAAAGCTAATATAAACAAAACAACATTGTATTGGGTTCTATTTAGGTCTTAAATAGACTTAATAAACATGTGAGATTAGATGAGTTGAGATATAGTTCATTCACGTAGGTTTTGGTTTGGAAATAAGGAAAGTTGACCAAATGTACGGATGAAATCAAGTGCCCTCCAACTGTCAAAAAAAAAAAAAAAAAAATCAAGTGCCCGGATTTCGACGGGAGAGACGTGGACCACTCCTTCATCAGCCAATGCAACACAAGCTTGTACAAAAGGTGGTTAATTATATATTTAAATATTAAATTGACTTTAAAATATTTAAATTGTTTATTTTAATTTTAAATTAAAATTTTAAAATTAATAAATTTTACCCTATTACTCTATTTTTATTAGTGTGTTGTGGTTATTTCTACTCCACCGTCTTATCATTATCAATAATATATTAATATAAATATGATTTATTTAAATTTATAGAAGTTAAACAACCTCACTTAAAATGAAACTCATGGGTCCAAATGAATTATGTTTGTACCACATAGGCTAAGCAGGACAGGAAGTAGAGTTGAGCCCGTGACTCACACGTAATGAAATTTTATTTATTTTAAATTAATTATAATAATAATTTAAAGTTTATGAGTTCATGAAATGTATGTTGAGAATTAATAATTTTAAAGATAAATAATTAGAGAGCTTTTAAAGTACGGGGTTATTTTTTTCTTTTTTGTTCCCGTTTGGTATCCGGGGATTCGTCTCGATTATTTCAGACCAGACTTGTGTCGCGCATTTAAAATGGTGGGTGAGTCTCTCAGCAGAGGTTACTGCGTACACAAGGTCTCGAACTCGAGACTTTACTTAAGCTGAAACAAATCGCTTACTACTTGATCCAACCTCTCGTTGGTAAAGTATAAGTATGGGGTTATTGACACTATAAAAAGTTGGATTATTAATTTTTTAATTTTTTTCTTAAATAGTATTTTAAATTACTAATTAATTAATTAATTTTAATTTATTAAATAATAAATATTAATAATTAATAAATTATAATTATTAATTATTTTTATTAATTAAATTAATATTTTTAAATATAATATTTTATAATTTTTAATATTTTTAATATTTTCATCCGTAGACATAACTTATCCACTTCAAAAAGGAGTTGTGAATAAAAATTAAAGTAGAGTTGACCAAATAGGAATGAAATCAAGTGCAGAAACCTTCAAGGCAGAGCCGTGGAGCACTCCGTCCTCGGCCAACCTGGCTCTCTCCAATATCTCCCGTACAGATACAGTATTTGTACAAATTGTGGTCTATGCTCATATATAAAAGACAAGCAAGAAAGGAACCTATGTTGGAATAAAATAAAAGGGCTCCAATTATTATTTTATTTTCTCAACGGTGGCATGTATATCATATTAAAATCTTCTCGTAATCCATCAGATTGGGACCACGTCTTCATTTGAACAGATAAAATAAATTTTTTTTAAAATTATTATACAATTTAATTTATATTAAATTTTATGTTTATTTAAACAAATAAAATAATTTTTTTAAAATTATTATATAATTTAAATTATATTAAACTATATAATTATTATTATATAAAAATTAAATCTCTTAATATTTTAGTGCATATTTTTATCTAATCATTTTTAGTTTACAGTTTGACATAATATTTTATATTATAATATATAATTTAAATT